AACTCCCAGACTTTTGGAATGCTGATGTCTGATGATAAAGATGCACCATGACCTCTGTGGATCTGAAAACTGACTTCTAAAAACTCAGTCACTTTATAAATCCAGTGGGGCTGCTTTCCTTTTACATAATGCTGCTGTTTTTACTTTGCGAACCCAATGCTTCTAAATCTGTTGTCTTAAAATATCCTTACAAGTGTAGTTCTTTTCTTTTCTAAATGCTTTTGTTAAATTTTCTTTGAAGGTACTTCTTTTTTCTTTTCTTTTTTGTTTTTTTGAGACAGAGTCTCATTTTTGTCACCCTTGGCAGAGTGCCGTGGCATCATAGCTCACAGCAATCTCAAACTCCTGGGCTCCAGTGATTTTCTTGCCTCAGCCACTGAGTAGCTAGGACTACAGGTGCCTGCCACAACACCCAGCTATTTTTTTTTTTTTCTTAGCAGGCGCAGGCCAGATTTGATCCCACCAGTCCTGGTGCACGTGGCTGGCACCCTAACCACTAAGATATGGGCGTCCAGCCTGAAGTACTTCCATTTTAGTTGTCCAACCATTTGCCAAATAAGAGCCATGATATAATTTATGAGATAAGTACTTATTAAATAAAACTAAATTTTTTAATATAAAGAGTGACAGAGTAAAATTAAGAATTATAAGCGGACTTTTACATAAATACATTTTTTAATTATAGAAGAATTTTTTTCTTTTGCAGTTTTTGGCCAGGGCTGGGTTTGAACCCACCACCTCCAGCATATAAGCCCAGCGCCTTACTCCTTTGAGCCACAGGTGTCACCCCAGAAGAAGTATTTTATAAAAAAAAAAAGTATGACATTTATAAAGTGGAATCAATGTTATCTTCTGATAATTCACTTGATTTCCAGCTTTTCCCAAAACATACCTGAATTTCTGCAGAAATAGTTTTAATCCATTCATCTACTGTCTTTCTGATCCTAATTTTTTCCGACATTTCTCTACAAAAGAGAAGAAGGAATCTCCTGAAATGAGCACTAATGACCTGAGAACAGGACCTGGATCAGATCTAACTCTTTAGTCTTTAATCTACTGTGTAGCCCAATATCCTTCATTTGAAAAGGAAAACCCAATGGTATTAATATTAGTTTTCATCAAATGTTTGAAGGATAAGTGTTTGAAAAACACATGCGGACCCCAGAAGACAGGTACCAAGATGAAAAAAATTAAAAGGAAAATTTCCAACACCGAAGAGTAGTACCACCATTTATACACCTATCCCAGTTCTAGCTTTACAAGAAGTTCCATGTCTTCCAGGGCAATAAAGAAACTTTTCTAAATTTTAAAACCCACTAAGCAAAGTGAAGTGCTTAGGAAAAAAATTAAGAAAGTAGAACTGGCAGTTCCCTGTCTTACCTGTTGGTAGATAAAGCATTGATAAATGAGTACATGGCAGCTCCATCCTTTGCCCGAATAATAGCTTCCAGATTTTCTTCAAGTACTTTTTTATTGTTTTGTACGCCTCTCAAAATCTTCTCAGCATCTTTCAATATAGATCTTGTCGTATTGGTTGTTTGAAGCTTATTAACGTAATTCTGTGGAAAATCACCAAGCCTTAACAGAGATTCTTTTGGCTTAAAAGAAAAAGGTCCAAAAAATCACTGTGTAAAGCTCACTTTATTTTAATCCAAACAAGAGATATTACCATTGTTAGGGCCATACAATATGCCAGTATATTCTAAGGAACTCAGTTTGCCAAACTGAAAAGTTACAAAATAATACTTGGCAATTAAGGGGTTTTTATTTCTCATTTAGGAGTACTAATGTGAGTGTTAAGTAAAATAGAGGTATGAAACTCAGAGCAATGCCACACAATCCAATAACCAAGAAAAGCACTAACTGCTGAAGAAATCTAAAACAAAACAGGAACAAGTTGGCTGTCGGTACTCTGGGTGTGTGTGGCAGACACTGTGGACTGGGTAAAGAGGGCCATTCACAGACCTTCCCCTGTCCTCCACTCCAGCAGAAACTGCTACAAGGCTTAGTCCTGACCAAGGACCAATAAGCAGAAGCATATGGGAAGAGTGTCTTGGAAAGCTGTATAAGTGGAAAACACTTGAATAACATGTCTTTTTCAGTGCTTTAATCTTTGTCCTTCCTAATTTCTATATTCATAACTTTTTTATTCCTTCATAATTTTTACCTTTACTAATCATCAATTTTAATATCATTCCCACTTTACCTGGACCATGCCATTTGCTTCTTTCCTCTTTTGACCAAAATCATGAAGAACATCATCAGACTTCTGCATAGTCACTTTAGCTGCTCCCAGCTCTTCACAGAAAGGAAATCTTTGAGAAGGTAGAGTTGCAATGCTATAGATGATTAGAAACAATGTTTCCTAGATTGTTCTAAATTCAATCAACATCTGATTATACAAATCTTTGATACAGTCTTAGGTAAACATTACTACATAGTATCCTATTAAAATTGTACAGTTTATCAGTTGTGTGATTAAACACATAAAATACTTAGCACAAGGAACAAAATTAATCTAACCAGAAAGTTTAGGCAAAGAGCATAAAAATATTTTACTTTCAAGAAACTAATATTCTGGCTTGGTGCCTGTAGCTCAGAGATTAGGATATCAGCCACATACACTGGGGCTGATGAGTTTGAATCCAGCCTGGGCCTGCTAAACAACAATGACAACTACAACAAAAAACCAGCCAGGCAATGTGGCAGGCACCTGTAGTCCCAGCTACTTGGGAGACTCAGGAAAGAGAATCGCTTAAGCCCAAGAGTTTGAGGTTGCTGTGAGCTATAATGCCATAGCACTCTATCAAGGGTGACATAGTGAAACTCTGTCTCAAAAAAAAAAGAAAGAAAGAAAAGAAAAAGAAACTAACATTCAAAAATATTTCCAGATTGGTGGAGTAAAAATCATCAAAATCAATTTTTTCATAACTTTGGAAATTAAAGAAAGGCTTGCAACAGTTCAAAGAGCATTTATTCACAAAAAATGGCCAATTCAGAATAACAATGGCAAGCTTTATAAAAGTTTTTCAACTTGACCCATTCTCAGGACCCTTTCCCCAATTCTATGGTATCACTGAAAACCAACAGCTTCACAAACCACTAGAAAGAGTAAAGTAGCTAGAGGGAAATGGGACAAAAGTCTCATTCATAAAGTTTGTCTTTATTTGATCTGACTCAAAGGTAGTCAATGAGAAACACTATCCCCAGGGCATTTTTGAAAACCAGTGGCAATTCTGGTTCAGCACCCATAGCACAGTGATTACAGCCTGGCCACATACACAGAGGCTGGAGGGTTCAAATCCAGCCCAGCCAGTTGAAATTAACAATGACAACTGCAACTGCAACAACAACAAAAAATAGCCTGTGGCAAGTGCCTGTATTCCCAGCTACTGGGAGGCTGAGGCAGGAGAATCACTTAAACCTAAGAGTTTGAGGTTGCTGTGAGCTGTGATGCCACAGCATTCTACCAAGAGCGACATAGTGAGACCCTGTCTCAAAA